ATAAGGCTGACTAAATAAACAATACAAAAACACAATCAAAACTAAACTCCACTGGTGCAAGATCAGACCAAAGGAACTAGAGGAGTGTGCTACCTACTGATTGCTTTGGCGTGCCACTGTACACCAGATTTTGGCAAACTTTGATATAAGCCTGGCATAAAAAAAGCAAAACAAAAAAAAACAATATTCAAAGATAATAACATGATTGTGCAGCTTTGACATTGGTCAAAACCACTGACTTGCAATATACACACAGCTCCAGACTGAATCCAGACTTGGTTTGCAGACCTACTTTTGGATCTTCTGATGAATTACAAGACAAAGTTTTCTTTGAACCCAAAGAACAACTATGAATGAATGAATGAATGTGTGTGTTTGTTATATATAATCAAACTAGTTTACATATACTGTCAAAAATAAAAGCTAATGACATTTTGTTAAATCCCTATTATGATTGGAATGCTTTCATATAAATTTTTAAATATGTTTTATAATTATGTAGTTTACTACATAATATACAGTATTTTCTGCCTAACAAGATACACTTTTTTCCTGAAAAATACATGTGCATCTTCCAAGATGAATGTCAGTCAATGCCCAGGCTCAAGTAAGCTTGGACAGTAAGCTTTCACCTAATTGGCTTGACTGATAGGGATGTAGGTTTATATGTTGAGTTATTACACTATAATGTTAGCTATCTAATTCAGCCTTTTATATGATGCAACCTCAGTACTTAGGTATTACAGTTATTTCCAAGACTATAAACCTTCCTGAAGCCAAGCCACAATCTTAAACATACTCTGTTTACTAGCAGCAGCAGGAGCATTTCTGCTCTTGACTAGTATGTAATTGCCATATAAACAAAATCAGACGAGTGATTAATGTAAAGAATACATGCTGCCAGCATGTGAAGGACGCACATGGTGAATGTGTTGTATGAGAATGACCTTTTCTTTTCTTACAAATTTCTTTCCAATATTAGGGTGCACCTTCCAAGCTGCAGCATCTTGTAAGCAGGAAAATACAGTAATTTTAATGTTTGCTACACACTTTAAAATGCTCTCTTCTATAGTCAAAGATGTTTATTACAGGTCTCTTCAAATAAGTTGTGAGACATTCAGCTGTCTTTGTTCAGGTACTTTCAACCTTCTCAGTCATTATCAGGAGTTAAATGTTGTCAGTCTTCTATGTATTTTGTCCCTTCAGAATGTATGCAAACATGGCTCTCCACAACTTCTTATCCTTTGTAGCCCTTAGAAAAGTTTGTTTTTTGGCTATATCTCTTCATTCTTGTTCTGCAACCATTTACATAAGATTGTTAGGTAGGTTATGTGCTGCTTTCCCCCTGTCCCCCCCACCCGCTTGCCTTCAATATGTCCTGTAAGTGTCAAAATTTCAACTCTCTCTTTCATGTGCTATGTATAAGTGTTTCCATTTTCTCTAAAATCATATTGTTACACATATGTTCAGTCCGTGGTATTCTCAGCATCCTTCTGTAGAACCACATTTCTGTTGCTTCAAGTTTCTTCTACATCTGTGATGAGATAGTTCAGCATTTACTGCCATATAGGAGCACCAATATTGCATAATTCAGTCTTTTCCATCCTCTATTAAAGCACTTCCTAGATATTGCAATTTTTGCACTTGTTTAATTTTGGTAAAGCTGTTAAAGTTCACTTACTGTCACAGAACTTATTTCTTGAGGATTCAAGCAGGGGTCATGGTTAAATTATTAAAATTTTCTATATAATAAAACAAACAAAAAAAACAAAACAACAATGAATTAAATAGAATAGCTGGAAGCATGATAGTTATCTACAGTTTATCACATTCAAGAATATGGTAAATGGTGGTTTTTAAGCACAACACATGCCAAGTCAAAAGTAAACACTACCTTACGCTCAGAGAACAGAGTTAGCACTGTGTTAGTGACAGTGCTCTCTCTAACCAGTGTTCAGCTTCTTTCTTCGGACATGTGCAAGACAGCCAAACATCACATTACTGGAACAATTAAGCACACAGTTCCATTCAAGGATTTTTGTAATTTTTCATGAACCAGGGAATGGCTACTGACATTAAGCTTAAGGATTACATAATGTACAAGTATAAAGAAAAACTTAAAGAAACAAAAAAAAAAAGAAGATATTATATTGAATGTTATCAATGATATTAAGTAAAAATAGGGGGTGGTACAATTCTGCAGTGCCTATACGTGTGCTGACACTGTCTGGCACTATGTTCCGACTTTTTTTTTTTTTTTTGAACCAGCCACCATTAGCTTTTTGAGTGGCCACATGGGGTGAGCAGTGCCACACATTGTTTGCAACTTTCTGCAGCAGCAGATTGTTTTGGTGATATAGTCTTGCACATTTCTTATTTATAGCTGTATATTTATTCGTTCAGGAAAGTAAGTATACATTATGTTTTTGTTTCAGGCTTTTTTTTAGCCTTTGTATTGCATGAAACAAAAACCTTGTTTGGAAGCATTAATGATTGTCATTTCTATTTTTAATAATGTTCACCCTATACAAGGCCCAAGAGCTACTCAAGGTAGAGGGTTACTGTGTGGATTTATATTAGCATAGGAAAGAACAAGTGTTTATAGAGCTGAAACAGACTTTAGAAGGAACTCAAAACTGAATTCTAAATAGGAAACAAGGGATAAACCTCTACTCCTGTTCAAAAAACTGGGGAGGAGTATGAATCTATCTATTCCTATTGGTGGAAGAGAGACAAAATAAAATGAAATAAATAATGAATTAAATTTCTGAGTCCAGGCACAGCTGTTAGGAGTACAAAACTGAAGCTAACTTTAGAACTTATTTCCTGCTTTAAGCTTTGTTCTATCTTTGATAACACAGCAATATATATGTACAATGAGCTGGCAAGTTTTCATAGGTATTTTTTAGGGGTGATCTCTTCCATCCAGCATTTTCTGTGCTCTGGCAGTGATCTGGTCCCAATGGTGCTGGATTAAAGAGGTTGAACTGTACTTTTCAAAATTTTAATTCATTTATTTCAACTGTTTAAATGCAACCTAAATTTTGAATCAAACTCCAAGATATTAATGTGAAGAGCAAAAAAATATTCAAGTGACAAATTTAAAATATAGGTTTGGCAAATATAAATCCTTGCATTGTTTTCCTAAGTAGCATTGCTAAGAGGGGTGAAGATTTGTAACCAGGATGCAAACAACATTCAATGCCGATGGGCAAATACAATTAAAATAATAGACTCAGACATTAGTAACTCCATTCTAGACAACTTTGTTTCAAGTAAAGAGAGTCAGTCAAATTTTTATTTTTAGCATCTTTTAACTGACCAATCTGTCATAGATATCACCATTTCCATGGCAAATGTTCTATTCTTCATTTGCACTTTAGAACCAAGATGTGTCACTTCCACAGAGTTGAATCACCCTTCTGTACCCCATATTCCAAATGTAAGGAGAAAGTTTTACTTAGACAGCTTTTTACCTTGCAAGTATTGCTATTTTGTGGAACAGACTCACTCACATGTAGAATCCTTTTTAAAGGCATGAATCCATCTCTTCCCTCTCCAGTTGTGAGTTAAATAACATGTGTGTTAGGGTTCATTAGTCCACGAGGGATTATTTTAAATTTAAAACTGTGGAGAAGGCAACAAGAAATCACTCCACTATCTTTCCAAATAAGTTATTGCAAATCACAGATATGTGGAAACGTATTTTTAGAGAAATATCAAAGAAAGCAAGAATAAAGATATGATCAGACCGGGTACCTGGTGGCCAAGCAAAAGGGGTAACCTAAGTTATGAATTACACATGAGAGATGTCAAATTTAAATTATCTGGGCGGTGTAATAAGACAACAGAAAATGTGACACAGTGCTGAAAGGCAAAATACACTTTTTCCACCAGAAACTAAGCAATGCAGCAAAGTGCCGAAAAAATAGCATTAGATACGAATAAAATTTTGTCAAAGATGAAAAAAAGACCATGCATCAGAGATGGACCAGCGAACGGTGAGAATCCCAGGGACTGTATGTGAGAAACGGAGAATTAAGAAGAATAGAAACTACAAAGAAACTGCTGCTGGCAGTTAGAAAGAGGCAACTGAAAGTTTTGGGACACATAGGAAAAAGGCTCAGAGAATTTAACACTTGCAGGGCACATCGAAGGCAAGAGAAAGTAACGAATAATCTACTTGACAAGTTTCTGCAAATGGACGGAAGAACATGAATATCACAGTTTAAGACAAAGCGGATTCATAAAAAAGGAGAAAGTATTGCTAAGAAGAGCAATAAAAGATAGGAAGCTGTGGAGGTCCGTGATCGCACAAAGCCTGATAAAGCAGTGAGAGATTTACACACCCTTCGAAACAAGATTCAAACGACGGTAGTAAAAAAAAAAATGTCGGATGTACATTGTCCTGTACATCACAAGTTGGAATTCGTTTTTTTTTTTAAATTGATTTAAACGTCCATAAATTAATTTAATAATTACGTACTCGCTTTTTGAGAGAATATCAAGTTTTCATGAGAGAAAAAAATTAATTATCGTATCAAATTGAATTGGTTGATAAAAAAAAAAAAAAATCACCTTAGGCTTGAAATGTTACACTAAACTTGTTAAACTAGTCTTACTAACTTTTCATTCTGTATTTTAAAAAAATGTTATCAACAACGGAACATCAGTCAATAGCATCAAAACAAATTCCAAATTAAAACATTACATTTCCGGTTTCATCGCACGGATACAAAACATTAAAAAGCAAAAACAAGTTAAACAAAAATGCATTCGTTGTTCATCTACCAATTATAGGAATAAACTAAAGCCAAATAAGTTATATTTTTTCCAAAGGAAAATGATAATATATTCTTTTCTTTCCTTAAAGCAAATCAAAATGAATTTTTTTTAAAAAATTATATTATCACTATTATTACATAACTACGCATATTCTTGTCAGTAATAGAATTTGATAAAAGTCCCACCCGTAAAATTAATAATATTAAAATACGTACCCATTCCATGCCACAAAACGACAGGTACTGGTCCCCCAATGACATTATATACACAGTAGTATAAAGATATAAACAAAAAGCTTAACTTTGGCATGTTGTTTAAACAAGTCGCCATTCTTTCCAAACACAAGTTTTAGTTAAGAGCAGAACAGTTTCGAACTTTGCATAAAGCCAATTTAGAGAATTGGTACAAAAAGTACGATTTCTTTTTAACTAAAATAATACAAAATTAATATTTATAAGATATTTATAACTATAAAAGCTTAGAACTTTGATTAGAATTCGTATCTAACGTTTTCAATGTCGGTGCTGGCTCAGTAAGTATTGCGGTGGCTGCTGTACTTCACTGTTGTGTCGTCTGACACTGCAGTGTTAATTTTTCTTCACTCTTCTGAACACGTTGCTTTGCAAAGATCTTATTTTAGTTTTTTTATAACAGTAGCTCCAAATGGCTGGTGTAAGACCTTTGCTTGGACGATTATGTTGGCAGGGGACTTCTTTTTCTTCACCTGCCTTTAAGAATTGCTACCATAGATCTTGTGCTGCTTTTGGCCGATTCGGCAAGGCTCGGCCGCCGGTCGCCCAGAAACACTTGTTTCTTAAAGACGAAGATGCCAGGGATTTCATTTACACTTTAAAAGCTAGCGAACGGAGTATTTTACTATCGCAACTCACCAAATTCGAAGAAGAAAGATTGAAAACATTACAAACAGGTAAACATAACAAAAAATATTTCTATTCTTAAAAGTACACGGCTATTTTCTTTGGATTGAGTTTTAAACTTATTTTTTTTATTTACGAAAAACAACTGATTGCGATCGGATTCTTAAAAAATTAGTTTTGGTTTGGTTTTGTTTTACTTTAAAAACTGCAACATCCAAATTGATCCAAAGAATTCAACTATATTGTTTTCTTTTAACTTTTCAGTTTTCCATTTTAGCACCGATTTTTTTTTTTTTAAATCCATTATTTATATCATATTTTTTGGTTCCTTTTTTTGTGTCAGTTTCAAAAGTTACTGTATTTTTTATTTTTAGGTAATTAACACAAATTATTTTTTTTTTTTTTTTTTTGTCCAAATAAAAAAAAAAAAAAAAGAACTTTTTCCTAATTTGACGGAACTAACGAATTGATTTAAGAAAAATAAAATATACATTTTTGGACAATGAAATAAAATTTACATTTTGTTTAAGTGAAATTTAAAATTTTACATATGAAAAATTCCATTCTTTGAAAAAGCAGACAATTTTACTTTTATTCTTTGATGAATTAATTACCAAATTGAGGTGGGCACTAATCGCAGCAAACGATTTTTTCCCTCCAGAAATGACACTTCTTACAGAAGAGTAGAAAAAAAAATATATATAATTAATTTAACAATAAAAGTAGACGTAATATTTTTTTTTGTAATAGTCCAACAATAACAAACAATTTACTTACATTGATTAATTAGCTGGAAGCCAAAATTTGGAAATTCACTTTTCCCATCTAATCACCGCCAAACTTTGTCCTTCAGAATCCCAAAGAGAAAACTGTTTTGTTTTTGTTTTTGTTTTTAAACTAAAGTCATTTCTACATTATTCAGCTTTCTTTGTTGACGTCTTGTTTCCTTCTTAAAATAATTTGATTCATTAAATTTGGGCAGGTACAACCTCAGTGGATTTGTTTTTATTATTCAAAATTTAAAATGCTGTCAAATTTATGAGGCATTTACTTTTACTTACTCCCACTTAAAATTAAAAGATCGACCAGTTTTAACTTAAAAACTAAAAGTGCCTTAAGTTTTCCTCATTTGATTTCATCTTTTTTTTCTAGTCAAAAGACGAATAAGTATTTTTTTTTATTTTTACTTGTATTCTATTTTTATCTTTTATTGAATAAACAAAATTGGATTTGACTTTGAAGTAAGTTTTTTTTTTTTTTTTTTTTTTTAGCTATTTTGTCTCCTTCAACATTTTTCCCTTTTATTGATTATTGAAAATGTTTATTTTTTATTTCTTAAAGTGCTGATGAGTCCAATATCTTTATGTTCTATTCACATTATTTTCAATTTTCAACCCCCATGTTATGCAATTTTAAATCTTAAACAGAACAATTGATGTTTGATCTTTTTTTTTCTCCCCACCAAAAGATTCTAAAGGCGAGAGTTATGATACAGAAGACAAAGAAGTAGAGTAAATCTTCTTTTTCATTCTGTTCTTTCTCCTTCTTCTTCATGATGTGAAAAGTACAAACTCGTATGTTGGCAAAAGAAAGAAAGAATGAATCGAATAATAATTTCGGAAGATGTTTATTGTCTACTTTCGTTCGTATTGCAAAAGTGACAAATTAATTTGGAATAGTATTTCTTCATTAAATTTACAAAAATAACAAGTATTAGAATTCCTGTAAAAAAGAAAAAAAAATGAAACCGTAAATAATTTACCATGTGGATCGAGATTGTCTTGATTCTTTTTTTCGTTGCACTTGACATCAAAACATTTGGTCCTTTGGGAAGGAGAAACGTTTTTTACTGTGAAATACTGACAAATACATTTATTTAGCAATCTTCCCTTAAGTTTTTATTTAACTGAATAATATAGTAGGGAACTCGTTTAAACTTTAAATTGTAATGTGGAAAATTTGTGTTTTGTTGACTTTTTGACGTTTGATCTGATGGTCGAATAATGAACAAAAAGAATTATTTCTCAATCTTTTTCATTCTTGACAAGTTCTGTTAGTTACTTTCAGTCTCATCTTTTTTTTTGTCTGTTTTTTTTTTTTTTTTTGTTTTTTTCGTTAAAAAAATTAATTGTAAATATCGAAGGGTTTAATAATAATTTCTAATGATTTGTGAAACATTTTTTATTGTATGTGAGAGAGAGATTGATAGATAGATATTGCATAAAAAAATAAAAATAACGAACTCTGAATAAATTTCCCCCGAAAACGTGGCGGGAAGGATTCAACAACATTATTTGCAAATTTATTTTTTTTTTTTTTTTATTATCCAAGAATAACATTGCCTGAAGAAAAATAAAATCCAAAGCTGAATAAGCAATCATAAAAAAAAATTCATGCCTTATGAAATTTCTCCTTGTACTTTTTACTTATTTCTTGTACTTTTATTTCTGTGTTAGTGAATTTGTTCTTTATGATGCGGGGCGGGGGGGTTGGGTAGAGGTTTTCATCATTTTTTTTTTTCCTTTGTGAAATTTTAGTATTGCCAAGGTAACTTAACTCACTGTTGCTAACATTTCTAAAAAGTTGTTTATTTGCTAGTTGTAATTTAAGTTTGAATAATTTCAGCATTTTTAAAATATGCAGAAAAGATTGTTTTTCCCTTTTCAGGTTCTGGTAATCAGTGTTATTTTTAGTTTCTTTTTCTTTAACATCTGTAAATTATGCATTTTTCCATGAATGTTCTTAGGAAACATTGTCAAAGAGGTTTACGTTACCGTTTTGAATTCAGTTATCCTTCTCTTAGACTGGTTGCCAACCAAGACGCAAGAAAGCATAGTCTGTCTTACTATTTAGCCTATAGCTGAGGCAGGGAAGATATATGAATTCTTGTCTTTCTCAAGGGCATTAAAATGAGCTTTAGCATATCCAATCTCAGATGGAATTTGAACCTGGTTTGATGATTCCATTTTCTCTGCTGTTAGTGTTAGGCCACTTGTACCTTCACAAAATCTGATACGCTTCTCTGTAAAAAATTTTTTTTTTTTTTTTTTTTATCAAAAATGGAAAACAAACACTTGAAGTGACTATGCTGTGGTTCTCCTGATGAATATTGATACCATTGGCAGAATATGAAGAAATTTTAAGGAAACTACAAAGAAGCTGTTGCTAATAATTCAACAGGTGGAAGTTTCAAAACATCTAATAAGGAAAGAAGACTTGTAGATATGAACACAACAAAAGGCAGCACATAGAAAGCCTTGATCCTTTACATTCTGAAGAGACCTGACACAGTGATGAAATATAAATAATGCTTTTAAACAACACATAAAAAAAAATTGTGAACATCTTCAAAAAAACAAAAAAAACTTTAAATAAGATTTACTTAGAAAAACTATTTTTTTAATTCTTGCTATTAGTGTTCTAAATCATTTATACTCAATTTCTTGTGTGAGTGCAATTATGAATAAGCCTGTAATTAAAATTTAGAATCCTATCCTATAAATTGATATTGTTGATATATGGAGTATCTTGTAAATGTGAATCAATTTATTGGGAATTTAAAATGTGTGTTAGAGACAACATTGAGATTCTTGTTGAATTGCTGCTTTGAAATTCTGACATTTTATTCAGGAGCTTTCTTTTATATTCTCTGTTTTTATTTAGGATGTGAGCAATCATGGCCTGCCATAATTTTGTATCCTTTGTAGTTCTTAGCTTGTATTATACTTCCTACTCTGTTTTGATATCCATTTTCTTGATAGGATTTTACTTGCTGTTTTCTTCTGCTACTCTTGACTTCAATATATCCTCTGAGTGTCAAATTCTCCAAATTCTCTTTCTTCATTTATGTCTTATTATAATTATCAGGAGTTTGTGCATTTTTTTAAAATGTATTAATGTGTCTTGCTAATTGATTTAGTAATTAGTGCTTAACAGTGATGTCCTATATTTGGACATGATCTGTGATAGAAAAATATTTTGTTCTGAATTCAAATATTCATCTTGTTACTTTTTATATAACTGTTTAATAATGCATGTTAGAAATTATAAAATGTTTTCTTATGTCATTCTTTATTCTGTGTTAAATCAATACAGCCAGTCTCCATTGCTTTTGAAGGGTTTTTAAAAAGTGTCAGTCAATACATATAACCACTATATATATATATATATATATATATATATATATATATATATATATATAATATATATATTTGTATGTGAAATACTTTGGTCTATTTATCACCACAATTTTAAATCCGTTTAGAACAAGTTTCTTTTTAGTCAGAAAATCATCTGATGTTTCAAGATGAAACGTCATTACAGCATTTTGAAGATGAATTT